TAAACCACAAACAAGTTCATTAATCACCTATGCACATAAACATTCATTTTTTTTAATCTAAATCACAACTCTCAAGTGTATAATAATTTCAAAAACAACAAATAAAAGAAAGAACAATGAAAAAATTGATTTGAATAGGAATCTAAGACTTATCAAAAGAGAAAGAGGTGATTCGGGTAAAACTTGGCATGCTAACAAGCAAAAGTCGACTAGCGATTTGCGATTAGGAATCGCATTTTGTTCAACAGTGGTAGGTAATCGTCAAATGTTTGAGAAATGAGAGTTTAGGTTAGGGCTTCTGAAATTGTGAGCGTGATTATTGTCGTAATTGTGTTGAATTATGATTTGAATTGTTAAAAATAAATTTTTTTTTTTATTTCATATGATTTGGGATTAATTTTAGTTTAGATTAGATATCGAGTCCGGACGTGTGTTGTAGACTTGTAAAACCATCGGCCAATAATAATGAACTTACTTTACTTTATATGATTATTTCAATAGGTTAATTGTAATTTGTATTGCTAAATTGGTATTTTTTGCTAAAACGTGAAAATTTGTAAGTTAATAAAATTATTTTTTTAATTAAAAATTTTGAAAACGGTTCGATTCGGATTTATGCATTTTTTGAAAACTGAAACCTAAACCAAACCAATTTGAAATGGTTTGGTTCGATTTGAGGGAAAAAAAATCGCGGGTCCACGTGGACCCAAACCAACGGTTTCAAATTAACGGTTTCGGTTCGATTTGCGGTTTCTCGATTTTTTTGTGCAGCATTATACATCAGTACGTACATGTGTTGCGCTGACCGCAGGTGTGTGGTTGGAAATTTTTTTTTTTTTGTCAATGTCCAATGGAATAAAGCCAAGTGTCCCCTTGTGAACTAATCAAGCAAAATTGCTTGTACACATATCAAGATTCTTAAATTGCTTGCCCAATTTTATCCCCACCTCCTAATCTCCGATATATATGCACACTAATTACAAATTTTATTTATTAGCTTGTTTAATATATTTTTTTATTTTTAATTGTCAAAGCTATGAAAAATAATATTACAAGATATATTTGGACTACACGGGTAGTCTTGATTGACTGGGATTGGTAAGCAAATCCGCCCAAAATATTTGAGTAGCGAATTTTATCATTTTCCTTATATAACAGGATTTGATTTCTTGTTATACATATACAGCTCGTGCATAGTAAATTTTATACTATCGTATATATTTTCAGATTTATTTAGAAGAAAAATATAAGGATTTGTTAAATTAAAGCTATCATTCCTTATATTAGATTTCTAACAAATTTAGGATATCTTTTATGATAAAATTGTTAGATATTTTCATATTTATTTAGAAGGATGATATAAGGATGAGTTAACTTAAAATTATTTTCCATATAATAGTCTTCTAAAAATTTAGAAAATCATTTTGGGCTTATCTTTTATGCTAAGATTGTTACCGTGTTTGTTGCATATTATTTGATAAGATTTTTTTTTTAATTTTTGATAATTGCTTTACCTATAAGTAAGGTAATTAATCAACAATAGAATTACGGTTTGAAAAAACCTAATTCCGTTTGATGAACCCGTGGGTAGCCGTTCTACCGTTATCCAGCAGCAAGCAGTTCCACCGTTAATCAGCAACAAAGTAGTTCTAATATTCTCCAAAGAGTTCATACGGACGTGATGCTTCATTGAGTACTTACAAAGTCAACGTTTTCTTCAAGTATTTGAAGAACGCAAATCAACCTGCTCTAAATGTTGAATTCCATCAATTGATCAATCTACTTGACGTGAAGTTAAGAACGGTAATTCTTAATCTAAGTGGTGATTACAGTCTATTACAATAGGAAAATGATGATAAAGTCAATATCGATGAGTTTGATTTCACTTCATGACAAGTCAAAAGAAGACGATACAAAAGTTGTTATTAATTCTTTTGAATGTTTTTTCCTTTAAATTTTGCAAATTTTCAAAAATGGATACTACTATATTTTTTTTTATCTATTAATTAGTAAATTGATTTACCCGTGGTATGGGGTCCGTAATTTTTTCCTTCAACGTTTACTACGTTTTATCTGATGTTCAAGTATTGATTTGCTATTATTTTTTAAACTAAGTAAAAAATTGCTTGAACATAGTGACATTTTGCTTGTTGCAGTCAGAATCATTATAGGAAGTTCTGATCACCGTCATCCAGAATTATAATAGTGCGATTAAAATTCATTTTTTTTAAAAATTTATCTAGGTTTTAGAATTTACATGTTCATTCTCTTAACTTGTCTTAGAATCAATTCAACGTATTAGCTTTATTTGTAGAATACTCGAGAAGCTTTATGTATCAACGAAATTGTAAGACTACCCATTTGCTAATGTGGCAAGAGAAACTTACTTACGGTTCTCTCAAATTCTCTTCAAGTAGACAAGATGATTTCTCAATGTAGGTAGAAAAACATTTTTCTATGTATCAAAAGCTTATAGTTGTGCGATTGAAAAGAAAAGAAAATCGGCAATTGCTACGAGATGGAAAACAAAATTTAAATATTGGAAATTTTGATAATTTCTTATCTTTTTTTGAATCCATAATTGAAACGAACAAGACCCACTAACACAAAACAAGACTTTAACTCATTAAATTCAGTAATAAGCGTAATTCCCTAATCTTTGTATGCATAGTTTAGTTTAATAACAACTGGCTACGTAGAACTTGATTAATAATATTGTTCCTTGAAGCTCGCAATTGTTTGTTAAGTTAGTTTGGACTGTTGCACTATGAAAGTGGTGATGCTGGCATAATTTCCTTTTTCTTAGGTATTTTAATAAAGTTTCTATATAAAAGTTATTTCTTCACCTTAATTTCTAATTTTAATAAATAAAAGAAACTTAACAAGGACACAAGAATAACTGCAAATAACAATTAACTTTCAAATCAGTCCTCAAATTGAAATTTGTTCCAAATTAACCATCCTTCCATAGTTCACCTAAAAAGATAATGAACTTTCATAATCACAATGGTATAGCATAAATTTGACTAACCACAATTGTTAATTTTGAACTCCATCCATGGCCTTCTTCACCTGTTCGAGAAATGAAGTTCAAATTTAGCTAATTTATTTGGAGAAGTAAGAAATGTATATTAATCAGTACGCCTCACCTCTTTGTCCCAATTAGTGCATAGATTTATCATCAAGAGTGCAATAGCTTGAATGGAAAGTCCACATATGATCCCCATCCAAAGTCCCTGCTAACAACAACCAACAATTATAAGCTTAGCTTCATTAAGAGAATACACTGACTTGTTGCTTTTTCGATAGAGAGGGACAGAGAATGCACCAGTCCTCCGATGTGAAAGACGAACGCAAAAATCACAGCACAAGGTATTCCCACGACATAATAGGCTCCAAGGTTGATGAAAGCACATAACTTTTGCCATCCGCATCCTCTAGCCGCACCTTAAATTGGTAAACAAACGTGTCGTGTGATATTCTATACAACACTTGTTATCTAGAAAGCATGAAACTATTGCCCATCCCGAATTTTTCTCATATAAATTTTACCAACTGGAAAAGAATTGTGCGGACTTTACCTGATAGCACACATTGAAATCCGTCTAGAAAGTCGGACAATGCTAATAGAGGCATGATTTTTTCTACATATCTGATAACTTCTTTGTTGTTGCTATACAGCTTTCCCCAAACACGCCGAACAAGAATGGTAGTTGTTCCAACAATTGCACCTTCTAAAATGGCAATCCCTGCTGCTACACGTACAGCTCTACGTGCACATTGTGGGCGCCCGGCACCCAATTCATTTGAAACCCGAGTACTATGGTATTTATTACAAGGAATGGTTGTCACAATCTGATATATATATCGAACAAAATAGAAACAAAATATTTTTGTGGAAAACATTAGTATTTACTGACCTTATAGCACCACCCAGACCGACTGAGATCATATACACCATCCAACACGTGTTAAGGCTGTCGAAAAAATGAAAGAAATATAGTAAATAGTATACCTTTTAGAGCATGTTTGGCTCTGCAGCTTCTAGAAAAGAAGTTGATACTGCCGAGAAAACCCACAAAAGAAACTAAGCCAAACATGCTGCTTATTTCATTCTCTGAACTTGAAGATTTATAAATACAAACCTTATAGATAATACTGATGTCTCTAATTTTGGATTTGGGAGAAGACCGGATAAAAGGACTACCATTTCAAATGACCAGTATTCGAAGCTGCACTCCAAATAGTCAACATATACTCTTCAAACCATTTAAAGACTTTTTAACAAATGCACATTACAATTGACCGAAGATGGTAAAAATTGTAATGATACGTGTGGCTTTTTTGATGAGATGAAGATAAAATTGAGTTTGTATGCCTTTTCAAGTTCTGCCACTACATTGTCAAACTTGATATGCTTTTCAAGTTATAGACACCTAATCATGATATGATAGGAGAAAAAACTGGAGTTACCATATCATTATTGCTGAAGGAATTGCAAGCTTCAAAAACCCAAGTAAATTATCAAAGGCTTCTCTTGAAAAACCCATGAAAGTTTTCGAGCAAGCTGAGGAGAACTTGATATATAGTGCCAACAATAGCACATTGATCCAATACGAGATGGCGTTAGCCAAAGCTGCTCCTTTGATTCCAAGCTCGATTTTAAACACGAAAAGCCAACATATGAAAATGTGCAACAAAGCTGCGATTCCAGAGCTTATCATCATAGGAATTACAGTATTCTGCGTCTGCAAAAATCTGTTGAGACATTGGAGGATGCCATAAGGAAAAAGGCCCGGGATCATCCAACAGTTAAACACTCCTGCTCCAATAGATATATCTTGATCTTGACCAAAACTTATAAGAATGGTGCTGGTGTAGAACCAAATGAATGAGAGGGGAATGCTAAAGGATAAAAGAACTAAGATTGCTCGTTGGGTGTAAATACCGAGCATATGGTATTGTTTTGCCCCATAGGCTTGCCCAGCCAATGTTTCCAACGCACTGCCCATTCCTAGCTTAAAAAGGTTGTGAGAAATCAAGTCAAGATTCAGATATACTTTCACATATAATAAGCTTAGTTTGACACGAACAATGAGTGAGACTGCAGTTATCCCATCATGAACTGAATCTAGTGTCTAATTTTAAGCATATTGAGCTGTACTTTAAGGTTTGTTTAAGAGTGTTGTTAATCCATTCTAGGGCACATCTTATGTTGTAAATATAAAACCCAGAAGTATAATCAACAATTACCAGCAACAATGAAAATAATACTTAAATCTTAAACAGAATACTCGATAATTATGCAAGATCAAGCCAATTATTCTAATAAAATTCGCCCACGAACTCCAATAACCAGGACTATGCTACTGAATAATATAACTGCAGCATGTTTACAAATACTGTTCTTGAAATGTGAACTGCTATCCTTCTTATTAAGAAATTTATTAGAAGTTCGAATTGCAAAAAATTGCAGGGTTTTTTTTTTTAATCACATCTGGCATAGTATTACAATTTATGGTGAAAAACAACTGATTGTTGACAAAAAACCCAAATATTTTTAGCATTAAGAATGATAAAATTCAATCTGGATTGCAAACCAACACCCTCCAAACAGAACAGTATGTGCAAATACATAAATTCCATATGTAAGCTTAAGCTTTTAGACCGAATTGCTTGTTTGAGTTTAGTAGGCTATGATTTTCCGTCTCAAGATGTCAACCTCGTTAAAAGTAGCCACACAATCGACGTGGGATTTTACCCTCAATTCTCTGCTAGAAATTGTGCTCTAAGAAAATAAAATAACTCCAAGGGACGTGAGGTGTTGCTTACCAATACACTGAAGCCCGTGACGGAAGCAAAAGAAGTAGCCATGGAAGCACTAGAGAGAGGCAACTCTCCCAAGTGTCCAACAAACATAATCGAAATCACTTGTAAACAATACTGCAAAATGTTTACTGCTATCAAAGGCAATGCTAAATTTAGCTGCTGCTTGGCTTCTCCTATCAACTCACCAATAAAATCTGAAGCACTTTCTTCATGCCTTGTTTGTTGCTCAGAAATTAGAGGAGAGACAACAATCCCCTCTTCTTCTTCTTCTTCCATTGATCCAATCCAAATTCATTACCAGACACACTAACTATTTCTATTAATTAATTAAGTGGCAGTTTCCTTTCACATCAATAAAATTGATTTCAACAAGCTTGCATTAATTAATCCAATTATTTGGGAGAAATTTGATGTGAAGTAGTTCATCGACAAATTGCTAGTAGAATTTAGCCTTCTTTGGTAGCAATTAAAATCGAAATTTTAGTAAATTTAAATAAAAATTGATAAAATGTATAGTTGAAAAATTGTGAATCACACTGTAAATGATAAATTTATTAATGAATGACAATTGTACCTCCTAGAAATTATTATCATTATAACCTTAATCATGCCCCGTAAATATAGATTTTTGGTTCTCATTATAATACATAAAAATTTATTGACTTTTATCATGTCTCCTTTTTTTTTTTTCTCTTTCTTTCACAACACGTTATCAGCACGATTATCTCAAAATCAAAGTACATTAGTTAGAAATAGTAACTTTTATAAACATAATTATCTATCACATATACCAAAATCAATTTGGTGACATGCGAATTTTTTTATATATACATGTATGTGAATTCAATTTGAGTCTGCTGCAATTTACACGGAATTTGACATAATTTTTTTCTGCTGCAATCAATTATGTGAATTTACATGGAAATGTCTCTTTGCTTTAGTTCATACACTTTCGTTCCTTTTAAGTATATACTCTCATAGAATTTATGGATTTAGTATCTCCCTTCCTCACTTCATTCCTATAAGTATTAGTTATCTCAATCACTTGCACTTTCATTATTAGTGGCTGATTTTTTTGTTTACTTTTAGTTTTAATTACGTGAGTTTGGAGTTTATGAATCGGGTCTAATTTTGAATGAAATTATTTTATTATTGCATAATTGTGGACAGCCACCACCATTTCTTTATTCATTTGTCTGTCTGCATAATTATTTTTATTAATCACTATTAAAATCAAGTAAATTCAAGTTCACGGGGAAAGTTAAATTCACGTTAATATATTTACTTTTTCAATCCAAATCACGTATTCGTTGCTTTAATTTCTCTTTTTATGTTTGTAAAATATATACATTTATGATGATTATTAAATGCTCTTTATGTCTTTAACATGATTAAACATTTTTGTGGTTGTTATAAACTTTAAATTAATAATTTATCACGTTGTTGTTCTTAAAATAGCACAATATTATAATTAATATGCCAAAAGAATATTACTTACTCTTGAAGAGTATAAATTATAATTTTCAATATTAAGAAGCAATAGTAAATTACAACGTGCTTCCGAAGTAATACATGTTTCGAAAAACATATTATTTTAAATTAGTTTTTATTCCAGAAAGAAAATACGTATGTCATGTTCATATTGACTACTTGATATTTAATCATATTGTTCGAAACTAATTGTATTTCCTTTTGCTTTATTGTTTAGTTAATCAAATTGCAAATATCACAAAGCTTGACTTTGCTGCACAACATATCTGGCTAAAACTATTTGTCTTGCAAAACCACTCATCTTTCTTCGTCATCATCTTCATGACAGATTGAAAATTAAATATCTCACCGAGAAAAATCCATAGGTTCTTTGGAAAAAAATTAATTGAAAGATTTGATCATCAGAGGATTATAGTCCTCCCCAAAGCTCGCTATGAGTGGATACACTTTCGTTTACAAGATTTCAAAACTGTTAGTGAGTACAATTCTGAACTGTTCAAAATACATTGCGTAGAGAAAAAAATCACTGATGAAGATATGTTGGTGAAAACTTTTTCCACATTTCACGCCTCTAATGTGCTCTTGCAACAGCAATATCGTGAGTGTGGTTTCAAAAGGTACTCAAAACTCATATCTTCCATGTTTGTGATTGAACAAAATATTGAACTACTGATGAAAAATCATGACTTACGTCCAACCGGTTCTGTACCATTGCCTGAAGCAAATGGTATTGCATTGCCTAAAGCAAATACAATATCGAGACAAGGACGTGGACAAGGATTTTGACGTGGATACGGACGTGCATGTAGAATAAATCATGGACGAAATAATCAACAAAATCATCAGCAATAGGCACTAATTTCAAAAGGTACAAAGCAAACGAAAGTAGCACATCTAAACAAGAGCATGAAGAAAGTTGCTTTAGATGTGGAATGAAAGGGCATTGGGCACATACCTGTCATACGGCAAAACACCTTATGGATCTCTACCAAAAATAATCATGGGAAATGAAAAGTGGAGACAAATTTTGTTAATTATGATGGTCCATTGATGTGATTCATTTGGATGTCTCCAATTTCTTTGTCGATCCAATGAAAACATTGAACATTTGATTGTGGTGTGTGATGGAAGACCTAATTAATTTACTTTCTAGTATTTTTGGTGCGGAAGCGTTTTGAAATTCTTATAATAAGAATTGAAAATCAGAATTATATTGGAATAATCTTGTTTTGTATTGATATATGATTGATTGATAAAAAAATGTACAATACCCCTATATTTATAGGCAAAATTATCCATAATCTTATTAATAAAAGGAACCAAAATAAGGAAACTAAATTTTAAAAGGAAATAAACTAATCTTAATCGAAACAAAATTTAAGAATAAACCTATTACAACTAAAAAATGAAATTAGAAAAGATAATTTAAAAAAGAAAAATTCCTAGATAAAGTGAAACTATTAATTGTAGTTGTGATATACTACATCAATCCCCTCCACTTGAATAAAACTCACCCTCGAGTTTTGTGGGTGTAAGGAAAACTCATCTAGAGGAAAGTACTCGAAGATATTAGCAACATTGAAAGTATTAGAAATGTTCATATCAGCTGGAAGGTCAACTTTGTAAGCATTATCACCAATCTTTTGAAGAATGCAAAAAGAACCAATCTTCTTATCTTTAAGGTTATTGTAAGTGCCACAGGAAAACGAATTTTTGCAGAGATGGATCATCACCAAATCACCTTCGTTGAACAGCTTAAGGCATCGATGTTGATCTGCAACAGTCTTGTAACGAATATTTTTTGAATACGTTCAGCAAACTCTTCTGCATTATAATTGACATTCGGAAGTCGAATCAAATCTACCGTATGCCTTGGAACACTAGTGTAAACGACTTCAAATGGAGTCTTCTGGTGGATCGATTAAGCATACTATTAAAGGAAAATTTAATTTGTGGAAGGGCAACATCCCACTGCTTTGATTTTTCTCTACTAACTGCTCGAATCATATTGCCAGAGTTCGATTGGCCACATCTGTTTGTGGATGACTCGCGCTATTAAACTTTAAAGAAGTGTCAAATATTCTCAATGGTGTCCTCCAAAAGTGACTTACAAACTTGACATCTCTATCATAAGTTATAGAACAAGGAATGTCGTGTAGGCGAACGACATCGCGAAAAAATAAATTAGCCATGTAAGAAGAATCTACAGTTTTCTTACGAGGAAGGAATTGAGCTATTTTCAAAAATCAATCAATTACAACAAAACAGAATCAACTCCTCATTGAGTCCGTGGAAGACCGAGAACAAAATCTATGTGAGATCTTGCCATATTGTTTCTGGAACAGGCAATGGGGTATAAAGTCCAGTATTTTGAGCTTGTCCTTTAACTTTCTGACATATTGGACAATACTGAACAAAACGACCAATATCTCTTTTTAGTTGGGGCCAATAAAATCTTTCTTTAACCAAGCTGATTGTCTTGTCCCGACCAACATGTCCGACCAACAAGGAATGCATAATTGCGTTCCTTTAAATAAGAATCCTTCATAAAATAGGTAATCGGGTATAAATTTTCTATTACTGCATCGAGTCCATATATCGCCAAAATCCTTATCAGTTGCATAAAGTTCCTTTAAGCAATCAAACCCAACTACTTCAGTGCTAATTGTAGCTAAAAGAGATGCTCGTCGACTTAAAGCGTTTGCTAATTTATTCTATTGGCCTGATTTAT